TTTTTTCTGCTTTCTTATCCCATTAACAAAAGTTTTCAATTACATAACTACATTTGTTACTAACCCTGCTATAATATGTTTGACATATACTTAAATCATAAAAGCTCCCTGAATTTATTCTTTGTTGTTCTGAAATGACCAAATACAGAGATGGAAATAGAAATAACACTTTTCTAATAACAACGAAATGTCAAGCAGATTGAAACCACCTCACCTGTGTTGTAGCAGAAACTGTTTAAACCCAACACAAAATCTTTTCTGGTGTTTTATTAAAAAAGTTTGAGCACACAGTAATAACGGAAAAGCACAGCATTGTGATTTTGGCGATGCTCTTCATTTGTTTTTCTCCATTGATTTCAGTGGATAACGTACAATTCACTTTCTCCACCCCCAATACCAAAAAAACAAACATTTATAAAAGCTCTCAGTTTTGCTCTGTTCTGTGCTCGGCGGTGCTGAGATTCACAGCTTTTTGAGAGGCTGTCTGCGGGATGAGAGTGACAGGGAGCTGTTGTCAGTTGTTGCCCCGGGGTAATGAAACAGTTTGATGTTCAAGCCCTGGGGGAAGGAGGGGGGAAGGGAGACATGGAGAACTCTGGTAATTGGAAATCCCTCAGTGGCTTCACTTTTTTTTTTTTTTGCTGCACTTGCATGGCACATAATGACATTTAAAGATTTTTTAAAATATAAATTAGTTTTTTTTTCCCCCGGGTACAAATGTAGAATGTTTTCAGCATGTGCAAAATGTACTTTACTGGGACAGGTTGTGAAATATTTATGTATGGGCACAAGTGACTTTGGAAAGAACTCCAATATGCAAAGGATTGAAAGTTTGAGGGTAATTAAAACCAGAAAAATCTTAAATCTGTCTCCCTGTTTTTAGACGCTGTAAAGTTTTGTGGTTCTCGTACAGATAGAAATCCTTACTTTGAACTGTTTCTTCTCCATGAAACCTAGTTAAAACTATATTTTTTTTATTTGATCCATATGCTAGTAAATGCTCCTATTCATGTCGCGGCTCAGAAATTGTACCTTTAATTCAGTACTGATGGTGCATAAAGATTAGATGTGCAGCACCATGCCATTGGCCTATTAAACGGATAAAAATGCAACTGAATATACTCAACAGACTGAAAAAGATTTATATTATTTCACGTTTTTGGTTATTCACGTTCATAGCACGTATTCATTGCACTTCCCATCAGTAAGAAATCATAAAAAGTCAAGTTGTGTAACAAATGTTTCTTTAATTGAAACTTGCTTTCAAGTGAACTTATCAACAGGCTGCTCTTCCTCATTGCATTAAAACTTGGCCAGCTGAGCCCCAGGGTGAAACTATAGCTGAGCATTATTAAAAATGGTGGTTGTGTGTGTGGGGGGGGGGATATTAAGGTTAGCTGATTACAACAGCGGGCCGTCTCTCATACACTCCACATACATATTAAGTGCTTGGGGAGCCACTGTAGTTTATAGAATATACATAATCTCAGCTCATCAGAGTAGAATAGATTGCTAGTGTGAGTATTCATATGGAGCTGGTGGAAGTTAATCAACTTTGTTTGAGCCAAATGAGTTAAGCAATGTAAACTTCAACTTTCAGAGAGCGGGAATTGGTAAATAAGGTCCATCTCTGCGTTTAATACTAAACAAAATCAGCCTTTATTTACCTTTGGCTACATTTCTCTTTAATGATGCTAAAAGTGGTTCTGTCCCAGCATTTCAATGGATGCATGTTAGGAGCAACATGTGGTTGTAAAGGAGGGATGGCATCCAGATTAACATGAAACATAGTCGAATATTTCCATCTTGATATAGTTATCTTTCTATAATATCCAATCGACATTTTGCAATAATTAAAAAAAAATAATTCGTCAATAATTCGTCTAAAAAAGACCTTAGGAGGGAGTAAAAATCTACCTAAAAAAGTTAGATGAGAAGATCGACACCACTCTTATTCTGTATTTGTCCATTCAATATGAAACTGGAGTCAGGAGTCAGTTATCTTAGCTTAGCACAAAGACTGGAAACAGGAGGAAACGGCTAGCCTGGCCTGAAAATCTGCTTCCCATCCCCTCTAAAGGTTAATTAGCAAAAGCCTTATATATTTTCTCATACCTGATGTCGACATTAATCCTGGTTATAGTTTGTCAGGAGACGTTTTACAGCTATAAACTAAAGGTGGGTAGGTTGTTTCGACAGTGGACTGTGCTGCAGGAGGAGTTTCAGTCAGACCTGTAGCAAACACTGTCACTACTGCAGCAACAGCAAAAGCCTAATTCAACTTAAATTAATGAATCATCTTTAATTAGTTAATCTATCCATCAATTTTATGCCACTTATCTGGGTCTAAGTGGCAAAGTAGTTGTATCATTGGACATTATTGCTGCATACTGCTGGGAAGTACTGAAAAAAACAAGCTATATAATATAAATAATTGTAGACCATACTGACTTTCCAACATACTTTAATACTTTGGCCGGTGTGATTATGGAAGAAGTATCAAATTGCATTCCTTGTGGTATTAAAAAATTCTTAAATTTAACTCTGTGAAGGGGAAACAGCTCGTCTGACTGTGTCCAACAACATCAACCGTTTGTACCATATTGAATAGACAAATACAGAATGAGATTGGTATCGATCTCCTCATCTAACTCTCAGCAGGAAAACGAATCCCTCTGATCATTTTAGTTGATGAAATCACATTATGAAAGTAAGATTTTCTTTATCTCCCTCTCCTTCCCCCTCAGCTCCATCTGTATGATATAGAGCCCGGCGTGAAGGCCACGGTGCTGAGTTTCTGCTCCTATGTCCAGTGGGTGCCGGGCAGTGACGTGGTGGTCGCCCAAAACAGAGGAAACCTCTGCATCTGGTACAGTATCGACAGCCCAGAGAGCATCACCATGTTCCCAATCAAGGTGAGTCTTTGTCCTCTTTGATTGTGTGAGTCCATCAGGTTACATATTTACATGACTTAAAGGGTTATTAAGTATATGATTTCACAGTTAAACTCCTATTGTCCCTTTTCATCTCTTTATTTGAGCCTCTCTGCCTCACTCCAAAACACCATGGTTATCTGTCAGATAATAAATAGGTAACTAATTGGTAGATAGGTAGATAATTGTTTTTCACAGGCTGAGTAGTTCTCCTTATGTTGAGTAAACTGACTTGAATTTCCCCTTAAATAAAAACAAGAGTTTCTACCTCTGGCATCATTCACTAGGTTTGCAGGTTTTTTTTACCCAAACCACTTGCTTTACTTTTACTTTCCTCAAGCGTTGTGTCTCCTTGTGAAGCCGACTGAACGAGTGTTTTTAATGCTGCTGTCCTCGAGCAGTTACTTGCCCTCGGCAAACACAAGTTTTTAAAACTTGCTTGTGGAACACTCACTGATGTTCTTATTAATAATAAAAACTGCAGCACTGAGAGCCAGACGGTCTAATTTGCTGACAAATAACAGATAGATGATGGATAAATTATTGCTGCTGTCCACATTATGTGTGGCCCATGTTTTTTTTTCATCTGTATACAGATTCTTAACCTAAACATACTACAAGGAGTTTTTAAGTGGTCATGGAACAGTCTCTGTTTAATACTGATGCCTCTATTTGAGCCACATAAAGAAACAAGACCATCAGAGAGAAGATTGGCTGTTTCTATATAGTTTAACTCAGCACTGCCACCGGGTCAGATTTGGTCTGATTTCCTTCAAATCAGATGAACTGAGGTGGTAGAAACACTACCACGTTCAAAGTGTCTTGTTGCTGCTTTAAGTAAAAGTAGTAATACCACACTGTAAAAGCACAGTACAAGTAAAAGTTCTGCATTCAAAATGTTACTTAGGTAAAAGTAATGTCATCAAAATGTACTTGAAGTATCAAAAGAAGAAAAAAACTGGCTCCTATAAATGTTATATTAATATATACTACTACATATTTTGATTATCATTGCTGATACATAAAGGTGTAAGCAACATTTTACTGTTGTAGTTGGTTGAGGTGGAGCTAATTTTAACTATTTTATAGTCTGTTGGGTAGTTCATTCTACAACAGTGCATGATGATCATATCTTTTGTATGTCAAATCTTTATCTGTAAAGTAATTGGTACTATAGCTGTTCTAGCAGAGTACAATACACACAAAAGTACAATATTTCCCTCTGAACTGTAATGGAGTGCAGTAAATGTACTCTGGTATATTCGACCACTGGAGCATCCCTCTCTCTAATTCAGGTTTAACCTCTCTTTGTCAGGGAGACATCGTGGATCTAGAAAGGGCTGATGGGAAGACGGACGTGATCGTGACAGAGGGTGTCAACACTGTGACGTACACACTGGACGAAGGCCTCATCGAGTTCGGTACCGCCGTGGATGACGGGGATTATGACAGGTGAGCGTAGCCTCGCGCAGATCGGCCAGTCACTGTCATTATCGACGAGTTGAACATCCATCCGGCCTTCCAACTACTTGCTGCTTTACTCGGTCGGAGTCACAGTGACAGCAGGGCGAGAAGAACAGGCCAGATGTCCTTTTATCCAGCAGCTTCCTCCAGCTCTTCTCGAGGGTTTCCTCAGAGCTCCAAGGCCAGCTGGGAGATATAATCTGTGCGTCGTGATTTGAGCACCTCCAAAATGATGCCTCCTTATCAGATGCTGTGACTGACCTCTCTCAGTGTGGAGGAGCAGCAGCTGAACTCTTCACTGTGGCTCTGAACTGCCACCTTTCAGAGAGTGTTAGTGACTTGTACTTGTCTTTCTGATAGGAGGGTTGACTGTGGTTGATACAGGGTATCTTTAAGCTGTGAAAAAGCATTCAATTTAGTTTCCAAAAGTCGATTTTGTTCTCGCCTAGGCAGCAGTGTCAGTGGAAATGTTTTTGTATCTGACTGTATCTGTTGGGAGACGATTTACATCTATAAACTAAAAGTAGGATTATTTCAACAGTAGACTGTGCTGCAAGCGGCTGTTCAATCCTTTTGTATTGCGTCATACCGAAAGCAAACACAGTCGCTTACTTAAATTAATTAGTAATTTACAATTGATAAATCCATCCATCCATTAAATTGATTAATCCGCCCAGCCATTTTCTGCTGCTTAGCCAGGTCCAGGACACATTCATTTGATTATATATATTTTGTTTTATTTATATATTATCATATATATTGAAAAAAGTGATGTAACAATTCTAAGCCACATTGTCGTACATGGTTTTCCATCACACTTTCACACTTTTTCTCTGAGGTATGAAAAAGTAAAAGTAAATTTAACTACTTTGTGGACCCCGCAGAAAGACTGCGAGAGGACAAAGAATTACTGATAAAGCAAGAGCATTGATTGTGACTCAGTTGTCTCTTTACAAGGTTTCTATTCTTTAAAATTCTGTCGATGCCACAAAGACACTTTGCCGGGACCTCCAGGGCAAAGTGTCAAACCTGCCACTGACTGTTGAATAACCAGAGTCTCTCCTACATTTACACAACCCTGCTGCTGTTCTCATACTGCCTCTGCAACACACAATACCGGTGACACTGTTTGTTGTGTCGTATCTTGTATTATGGTCTGAATGGTTTCCTGATTGTACTTTACTGTATTTACTTCTGTGTGTGTTTATTTGTGTGTGTTTGTTGTTGACAGAGCCACAGCATTCCTTTGAGACTCTGGAGATGTCACCAGAGACTGAAGCCATGTGGAAGACGTCAGCAAGCGGCTCTAGGAGCCACCAGCTGCCACATTCTGCAGAAAGGTCAGCGAACACACACACACCCACACAACACACACCACACACACCTACACACTCACACACACTTACATCACACACACATGCAAAACCATGCAAGCTAATATTTGTGTCTCTGAAATAATTACATTCTGTATCAGTCATCATTGTCAGACTTACCTTTGTGACTGAAGAGGAAACATCAAGGACACCCTGGTCACCTAGAGTGAAAGAGCACACTTTTGGACACACACACACTCACACACACTCACTGTAGATGACTGTGTCCCAGCTTGACTTCCCTCTCTAACTTCATTAATCATCAAAGACAGTTATTTTTTAAAATTTTCTATCATACACACTTTTTTCTCTCTCTCTTTCTCTCTCTCTCTCTCTCTCCTTCCATCTTTATTTCTCTCTGTTTTGAGAAACTTTTCCAATTTGAATTCTCTGTCATTAATAATGCATATGCTGTTCGTTAGGCATCGGCTTGATTTGCATAAATCATGAAATCGGGGAAAGAAACGGTTTTGTCTGGAGTGGGTAATGTTAATGAGGGAGGGAAGCAAGAAAGAGTCAGACAGAAGGAGGCTTTTGCTTTTTAACTTTTTTTCTTTCATGACTTGTTCATTAATCTGATGCAACTGTTCAGAGGGAGTTGGTAATAAAGTGGCCAAATCCTAAGATGTGCTTTTTCATTTCTTAGCCCCTCAGACTGCAGTGTATCTAAAGGCTAATTAGAAAAAAGCTCTAATTTATCTCAGTGCATTAAGCGAACAGATATTCAGAGCTTTGACCAGCCGCTGTTACCTTCTAACTTCGACTCAGCTTAATGTTTTTTGTCTTTGTGTTTCCTTCTTTTTGTGTACTCGCTCACTCTTTCTTTCCCTTTTTTCTTTTCCAGGTGTTTTGCTGCATTAGGGGACGTCTCAACTGTACGTTTCCTCCACCAAACGAACCAGATTGCCGACAAAGTTTCACAGGAAATGGTGTGTTTCATGTCAGCACAGATACAGCAGTACAGTACATCTCCACACTGACCATTAAAGAGTATTGAGAGCGGGTTAGCAATGCTCTGATACTATTTTTCTTTCTGATACCTGAACTTTGTGTATCGACCGATTCTGTGCACCGAACCGATACATGTGCATTGAAAAAAACAACAACTATATATTCATTATTTTTTAACATGGGTATACTACTAACCCTGTATGATTGTTAGCATTGTTGTATGGCCCGAGAAGGTCATGAATCAAGAATGGCAAACGGGACACTACTGGAAGAAGCAGTGTCCCGTTTTGGGGCTAATAAATTACGGGGTGATACCCAGTACCACATTTTAGGCAGTATTGGAGGAACTCTGGTGCTTATATTTTTGGATTAACTACACTGATACTCATCAGCTGTAAATTTGGATATTTTGACACCGCAAAACCTGAATAATTAAATATTTGCTTTAAAGATTTATGCTTCTCGCGGCTGAAATGAGGTGAAATGAAAACTAGCATTTATTTTTTATATTACAATTTACAGAAGGAAATTAGTCATTTGTATTAATTTCTGAATAAAACCCCCAAACTCTGATCATGTTACATTTTATACATCTTGTGTGTGTCTGTTTTGACCAGGGAGGAGATGGAACTGCCTTTTTCCAAGTCCAAGCCCACGTGGCCATGCTGGATAAGAACTTTAAACTGGCTGAGATGCACTACATGGAGCAGGTTGGTGACTAACCCCGTTTTCCCTCATACAACCAAACCTTGTGTAGACACTTGCTTACAGAAGCTTTATTCTGTTTCTCACAATGCAACATTTTAAATCAGCCTTTTCACTCTATAGTATGTAGAACTGAACCAAACGTCCCGGCATTTGAACGGTCTTCATTATCTTCTTTCTACCTGTATATTTACGCCGGTAACCAAATCTGTAATTATATAATCCTTCTGCAGAATGCCATCGATGAAGCTATAGAGATGTACCAGGAGCTCCACATGTGGGATGACTGCATTGCAGTGGCTGAAGCCAAGGTAATAATGAGCAGACCAAATTTTTACCTAACACCTTTGCATTTTACCCAAGGGAGCTTTTGTTCTCGCTGTCTGTTGTTGCATACTGTAACCTTTTCTGCGGTGCAGTCATTTAGCCAGCGTTGTCTGGGTCTCAACAGTTAGATAAATCTTGAATAGGCGACTTTCTCCCTAATTTCCGTGCAACAATTCTTATTGGACTCAATAGATCCCCCAACGTAATATAGGAGTCTGATTACACAATGAACACATGCTGCATCATTAGTCAGGCAAATTAGTGACTTGAATATGGGAACTGTAAAGTGGCCTTTTGTAAATCCTCCGTTGGACAGTTCGAGGAGTGAGTAACTCCTTACTAACTGATCAAATTGAATCATGCATGGGATCGTTTTAATATCAGCTTTAAGAGGGATCAGTCATGTAGTCATGAATGATTCTTCTTTATGCTTTGTTTCGTGTACTTCTTTAAAGGCCCATCTTAGAGCGGGCACAAGCTAGAGTATGCTATAAATACTGTAGTGGCATTGTCCCAGGTATGTCCCTATAAAAATAAACCTGAAATAAATAAAGAAACATTAAGCAATTTGACAACAACACAAACAAACAATTTACATTTAGTGCTGTTCACCAACACACTGTGTGTCTAACAAACGTGTAAAGTGCATTTCCTTCCTCATAAAACATTTGCAAAGCCGGTTTTAAGTATTTTAAATCCTCCATTTATCTTGGCGCTCTCTGCAGCATATCTTAGCGTGTTACCGCCACGTGTTGATTAGCGGAATATAGTGTGAAACTATTACTAGGAAACTACTGTATATGCATGTACGAGAGAAACAAAACGGGGAAAAAACAGCTCAATTGTGCTTCTAGAGGTTTAAAACTCAACAAGGAACCTTTAACTGCAACTGATTTAAAAAAGGTTTCAACTAATGATTAATCTGTTGATTATATCAGAAAATAGCCGATTATATCTTCTCAGAGCCCAAACTAACATCTTCAAACTGCTTATTTCCAGTTAACAGTCCAAATCCAAATATATTCAATGAACAATTATACAATAAAACATTGAAAATGAAAGTTAGATTATTAAAATATTTGTATCAATTATTCATATAAATCTGAACCTACGTCTAACTTATAAACAACCCTACTCTCTATAAATGACCGTAGGGCCACCCGGAGCTGGACAGCCTGCGTGCAAACTATTACCAGTGGTTAACGGAGACGGGTCAGGACGAGAAGGCCGGTGAGGTGAAGGAGAGCGAGGGAGACTTCCAGGGCGCCATCAACCTCTACCTGAAGGCCGGACTACCGGCTAAAGCCGCCCGGCTGGCCATCGGCCACCCGGAGATCACCAACAACAGCGACACTGTCAGCCGCATCGCCGCCAGTCTCATCAAGGGAGAGTTTTATGAGAGGGTGAGTGTCTTTATGGTGCATTCTCTGGCTCTTGTTTATTGTGGAACTGATCACAGCTGGTACGGGTAACCTATGATGGTAAATCTCCTTCGTTCCTCCTTTACTTTAACTCTTTTTCAGACACCTCATCTCCCTCTCTTCTCTGAACAGATGCCAGGAGAGGAGAGCTATCAACATTTTTCTTTGTTTATTCAGTTTTACACTCTGTCTCCCTCCATCTGTCTGTTATTTCCCTGAGTCTCTTACTGTAGCTGTTTGTCTGAGAACTCAATTCTTCTCCTCTAGCCATCTGTGTTTATGTAACAGGTGGGAAAGAGGGAACGAAACCTCAGATCAGATTTTGTTGCTGTATCCTGATGGTGTTTTTTAGGCGTTTGAAGGTTGAAACGGATGCTGGCAACGTGTGATTTTTAACTTGCGGTAGCCAATATGTCCTGTTCACATTCAGTATATTTTGTGTACCTTACAAAGACTGTGTGTTGTGCAGTTTGTTGTTGACAGGTTAGAAAAGCCACTGAATTAACATTTAAACCACCGGAAAAGAAAACTCTTCACTGAAAGAAATTTGAATGAAGCTGGGGTGGGTTTTTTTGGACAAGCATCCTGATAAAAGAAGTAGTAAGATGAAGAAAGAGTTAGATAAGTAGAAATGATGATGGAGAGGGACCACTGCAGAGGTACATAATGGAGAAAAATGAGAAATAAATGTCCCAAAATGGATATTACAGATTCATGCAGATTATTGTGCCTTGGAAAATCCTCCTAAGTATTCCTCTGGTCAAATATCTCATACAGGATTTGTGCTTAAAGGTAGGTTATAGGTTGTTTGTTGAAATATCACACTACAGAGGAATAAACTGTTCCCAAACACTAACAGTCGTAAGGCAGACTGAGCTATCTCGCTAAAACGCAACAGCTATTGGCCTACCACATGGCCAAAACTATGAGGACACCTGACACCTTGTGTGTCCACATACTTTTGTCCATTTAGGTAACATTCCCAACAACCCTGACTCAGCATATTGGATGTTCCTAATGTGTGAATTTGTCTTAATGCATGGATATTCTCTGTGTCCTCTGACCAGGCAGGAGATCTGTACGAGAGGATCAGAAACAACCAGAGAGCTTTGGAGTGCTTCTGCAAAGGAGGTGCCTTCAGGAAAGGTAAATCAGCGACATAACCTATATTATAGATAAAAATGTGTCCGTTTGGTGATTTTAAATTACGCTAGCTTCACATGACTCTAGGGGATGCAGTGTTGGTTGACTGGTTGATTGGTTGGTCAATCTACCACTTATCTCCAAGAGGACGATCCTGTGCTTTTTCTTCTAGCGCCAGCAGAGGTTGACGTTTGTGGTTCTGAGGGAAATGTCTCAACAGCTGTTGGATGGATTTACATAAAATTTGCTACACACATCCAAGCCCCCCATCAGAATAAATTGCAATTACTTTGGTGGTTCTCTGATTTTTTTTATGTAGTGCAACCATTCAGTACATTAGTTTATGACCCGCAGAACCAATAACTCAGCTTTACTTTGTGTTATTGCTAATTAGTAAAAGTGTGGACTCTACTAGATGGTGGACATTAGGTGGATGTATGTGGTTGAGTTATGTTGTAGGTATACAGTAGATTATATCAAGTTTCTCCTTCCTGCTTCCTGTAGCGGTGGAGCTGGCTCGCCTTGCCTTCCCTGCCGAGGTGGTGAAACTGGAGGAGTCCTGGGGAGACTACCTTGTCCAGCAGAAACAGATGGACGCCGCCATCAACCACTTCATTGAAGCAGGGTATGCAGAGTAGAGGAGTGAAGAGACAAAGATTTGGGCAGATGGAGAGGAGGAAAGAGGACACGTAATAAAACAATCCAACAGAGATGGCCAATAGTTCTTTAAATCGTTACCAGCACCATAACAGAGGGATGAGAAGAGATATCTTTTAAACGTTATTTTAATTTCCCAAAAATACCAAGTAAAGGCAGGTGATCAGCGCCCAGATTTTTATTCTCTTAAGGTTGAAAAAGCATTTGAAAAAGAATTTTGATTGTAGGAAGCTAAAACTCACCACAATAACAAAGGTTTTGAAAATACTACTTCCACTTCATAATTGCTTCTGCCAGTAAAGTTTCAATCTGCACCAAAGTCCTTACAAAATAATTAGTTTTTACTTACTTACAAACCAAAGTTAATTTACTTTGAGTTTGGCTGTCAGTCCATTTTGTCCTTCTGTCAACCAAGATTTGGTGGAGCAACACCGTTAGTGTCTACACACATAATCTACATTTCAGAGTCGATGCTTATTTTATGTTATTTTATGGAAACACTTGCATACAAACATACTAAAATCTGTTGTTTTTCCCATCTCAGCTGCTCACTTAAAGCCATCGAGGCGGCCATCGCAGCTCGTCAGTGGAAGAAAGCCGTCCACATCCTGGAGTTACAGGAGGATTCATCAGCAGGGAAATACTATGTGAAGATAGCTCAGTACTATGCCGCCATGCAGGACTATGAGGTGAGAGAGGAGGGACAATGTGTGCAGGCAAGTTAAATATAGAAGAAAATAAAAAGAAGAATAAGAAGAAATGTTGAGGGGAGGTGGTTCAGACAGTTATACCTGTGGTAGTTTAACAGATCAGCTCAGTTGGTCACCATGCAGTTTAACAGTGGTTCTCAAACCCTTTTCGTATCAGGGACCCTTCAAATTGATACACATCAGACCACGGACCCATATTTGATAAGATGTATCAGGGATCCCCGTCTGAAAAGATTTAGCTATTCCATAATGACTGTAAACAGTGTGGATTGACAGATTAACAATGTGAAACCGATGAACAGAATAGTCATTTTTATATATTCAATCATTGGGCTAACTTCTAGCCAGTGAAATAATATTGAAATTAAAATAATCCCCATTTTTACAAGGACCCCCTAGAACCACCCCAGGTTGAGAACCCCTACCTTGTAGAGAAAGTACAATGAATGTGTGAACTGAAACTTTAGCTACACTAATCAATATTTGAATGTGAGATTTTAACAGTACGATAGCCAGCTCAGATAATATGTTTCACAGTGTTACACAATCATTATTATAATCAGTGACAATGACCCTTAAAGGAATGATAACAGCAGGTTGGAAAAAACCTTCACTATAATTTCAAAAACTATTATGTCCTATATTTTTTAATAACATGAATATAGTGGAATTCAATGTGTTTTAAAATAACGATAACAGTAGAATTCACTGTAGATAAGCAAATATACACAGTATCGGTATACCACTGCAACCCTAGTAATGATGAACCCACAGAGAATTATTATTACATCAACTCTTCAGTTCCAGTCAGCACTGCAGAGAGATTTAGCATCTTTCAGCTCATTGTTTTGGTTTTATGGCAACGTTTCTGCTTTGGTTCCAGCAGCAGGGCAGCAGTTTTCTGTGAAAAAGTTCTGATGACCAATTGTACACTACATGAACACTGTGGAGCATTTAGCTGCCAAAGAGCCAGATATCTGTCTCAGGTGTAGATGGAGACGAAAAATAGAGCTGAAAGGGAGTGAAAGTCAGATTCTGTTTGTCTGTTTGACGTCTGATGTGTCTGCTGGATCTTTAAATTGGTCACTGATTTCAAAGATTTTATATAATATGTTTTTTAATATGTCCATAAATGGTGAGTATGTAAGTAGTGGTTATTCACTATGAATTATATTATATACTTACCTTATAGAAATTCTGTATATGGCAGCCTAAATGCCGGTACATTTGGCTTTGTGGTTAGGTGAGCAACTGAGGTTTTTCTTCTTGAACACCACAGCGGAGGCAGCCAGAGGGATAAAGTGACATTTTGCCACCGGCAGTTACTTCCTGTACATTGCTCAGGGATACATACTGTCACCCATAACACACCCATATACACACACACACACACACACACAACCTTGCACACGTACACAAACTTTAGTTCAGTCTCCATGGAGCTGTGTGGGCTGTGTTTGCTCGAGGCTGCTTTGGCAATAATGACAAGTTGGACGGTTGTAAGAATAGTTGCCTAAATACCAGAAATACAGGGCTGCTGAAAAGGAGAAGAGAAATCCGGTGTAAATACAAAGAAAAGAGAAAAAGAAGAGGGATGATGATGGTGAAGCACAGCGTGCTCTGCTTATTCTGATGAGCTCAGCTGAGCCAAACAGCCTCCACAGACTGCCAGCCTCTGAAAATAGCAGGCCATTTCAGTCTGTTTGCTCTGTGGGCATATTCACAGAAAGTAATTAAGATAACAAGCTCTTTGCTTTCCAACTTGTGGAAGTTGCAGGAAAAGTATAATTCAGTGCAAACTCAAACAATGAAGGAAGGCCCACACCTGTGATTTCAATGCAAAAATTATCAGGGAAAAAAACAATGACTAAACGTTTTTTAATCAGAACGGACGATTAACCGGCACATACATTTGCATTGATGCCAGTGTTAGTTCAGGTTCAATGGAATATAGCTTTTGGCTTTATGTAGAAAAAATCTATTCAAATTGAAGTAGCGGATGCTTCCCTTTCCCTTCTCTACAATCTCTCACTCCAGCAACAGCTCACACTACTCTGTATGATGTTATTAGTTCTGTACAAGTGTTTTTGTGCTTTCTTTACCCTGCAGGAACGCCATTTTTATATATTAATGTGCCAGTTAAGAAGTGTGCGCTCCAAAAAAAATTTAAATGTGACCTTTTATGTAGAGGACTTATAATGTTCAGATTATATTTGATGTTTTCTGAGTGTATGTTTGTATGTAATTTGTGTGTTAATGGCGTGTAGGTGGCAGAGCAACTGTTTGTGAAAGGAGGTCACATCAAAGATGCTATAGACATGTACACCACAGCAGGACGCTGGGAGGAGGCTCATAAGGTTAGTATGGAGGGTAATTACAGAGAGAAGTATGAAAAATAAAGAGAGATAGATTAATATGCATTTTTGTGGCAAATTCAACTTTCCCCTAATGTAATATTTGAGTTTTTTATTTATTCCCTTTTCCTAATCTTGTTTAACCAGCATAGTCTCAGCTATAAACATAGTAATGCACAAAATACGTCACACTGAATGATAATGATAATCAACACTACATTTGATTACTTTTTAAAAAGAAAATTATCAGCGTCGGAAACAGAAATGAAATAAAGTCATTGTGATTGTCTGGTGTGTTTTGTTCGCAGTTGGCGGTGAAGTGTATGACAGAGGAGGAAGTTATGGCTCTGTACATCAGCAGAGCTCAGGAGCTGGAGAGAGATGGGAAATTCAAGGAGGCTGAGCGGTAAATGGAGATCACTTTATTTATAGTAATTTGTCGCATCACTGGCTCCTGGAAGCATGGAAAATGGAGTGAGGCGAACTAACATGACTATGTTTGAAGTCATCTCTCACCTAAATTACAGCTAGAAAAAAATGATAAAAACAGTATTTGACTGTTGACAGGTGGTTATTTCAGAGCCTGTTTTGACTTGGCTGTCTGCTCATTTCACTCTAGACTGATTTAAATCTTGTTAAAAGTCCTCTCTTACTTTTTTGACTTTAAGAAAACAATTACTAATGGTTGCCTGGGTGTGTCCAGGTTGTTTGCCACGGTGAAGCAGCCTGACCTCGCCATAACCATGTACAAGAAGAACCGGATGTTCGATGATGTCATCCGCCTGGTGGCCAAACATCACCCCGACTTGCTGTCAGAGACCCACCTGCACCTGTCCAAGGTAAGGCTATGAAGTTAATCCCGCCCACAAAGCTTTAATTGGTCGACCAGGCTGTCAATGGGCACGACATCAGTGATTAAGAGGTCTGGAACGAGGCTATAAATTAACAGGAAAACCGAAATTCAATAGCACTGTTCATTTTGTGCAATAATGCCTTGTATAATGCGATTACATGGACCAAATTATCTTTTAGCAAATAGAAGGTACACATAGGTGTTACCAATAATACTAATTAAGGTTTCGTTCCATTTAGTGTAGCAGAGCCTTTCCAGTGAGCCGACACCTTATAACTTGGTGTGATTTCATTTTGAGGGCAGGAAGCGAGACCATTCTGTGTTTCTTATGTAACAGCAGACAAACGAGTGTGTTCACAGTTTTGTGGTTGTCCGATTATCTTGTGAGAGTTGCCCCGCAGTGCTTTGAACTCTCACAATTATTGGGAATGTCTTTAAAAGGAGAATTTGGTCTGAATTCTTGTAGTTTTAAAGCTCATGCCCCTGAATTAGTTTTGTCCTGATATGGTTGCTCTGAGACTTTAAGTCTCCAGAGAGTTTCAGCAAAGAAGATTCTGAAGAATTCCAATGGAGTTTCATCATTAAGTGGTTTTACTTGCTTTTGTCAGCAGTTTTCCCTTTTTGCTGTCTCAAACTGAGAAAAAGGATTGCCGAAGGGACATGAATTGTACTTTAATGATCATATTCTAACTCAAACATTCATGTGCTTTAATAGATTTTCTATAGATGATCAATGCTGGATCGTACTGTTCTGTGAGTTTTTTCTGTGCCTGATGTATATGTTATGTTAAATATGTATGATCTAAATGTTTCTTGTAGGAGTTGGAGGCTGAATCCAGATTCTCAGAGGCAGAGTACCACTTCATGGAGGCTGAAGAGTGGAAAGCTGCAGTCCACATGTACAGAGTCAATGATATGTGGGAGGATGCATACAGGGTAGATACAGCCACTTTTGTTTTGTTAAGCTGTTAATCCCATTAAATTTGCAAGATATTAAGAGTTTTGTTCTCCAAATGTGTGAACTGTAGTTGTACATTTTAAAGCCTAAAACCTCGTCCGACACAACAAAATTACAGTCCTTCTATATATCTACCTTTGACTTGTTGCTGAGGAAAAGTAAATAACACCATTGACAGCTGTTCCAGTACTCATTGCAAACAGTACAGTGAAGTTAGACACACAGTTACTTCTCAGTGACTTAAAAGATGTTAAATGTTGGTTGAACGTATGTGTTTAAAGGACATTTTCAACATTTAAAGATTGCTATAATGACATAAAAGACACATAATTTAAACTTTTACAATCGCTATACTGTACTATTTTCTGTAGAAAATGTTATTTCACCTGAAATGATGAGTCTAAGTTGTATTTAACTTTTAAATTATCAATATTTGACATTTCTAACTTAACTTTATAGCGTTTATAAGAAGTATACAGACATTTAATAAATGGTTTATAATACACTTTTAATGTAGTCGAATGCAGATTTAAGTCTTTATTAATGTACTCATCAACAACTATAACACTCATAAGTGGAGGCTGCTGTAAAAACAGATGAATGATAACACATTACAATAATATACACCTACAATGCTCTTATAGCTGTATATAGCTACATTATAGTGTTAGAAACCATTTATTAAATGTTTATATACTGCTTATAGATGCTAAATCAGAGGACAAATTATTATTGTTTACTGAGAGATAGACTTGTGTGTAGGCAATTGTATGCTTCCCTGTTGTCAGTGTTTATTGCTGCTGTTGTGTTGTGAGCAACTTTATAGCTTCTATTAGATGTATTTGTCTGGGATTATCTGCGGTAAGGGAAACTGCTGCAAGACTCCTACAGAGATATTTATTTACACATATACTTCTATGTGTGTCAGGTGGCTAAGAACCATGGAGGTGCTGGAGCCCAGAAGCAGGTGGCCTACCTGTGGGCCAGGAGCCTGGGAGGAGAGGCGGCCGTCAAGCTGCTCAACAAGTTCGGCCTCCTGGAATACGCCATCGAGTCTGCTTTAGATAACTTGTGAGCTGCACCACAACACTTAAACGCAACATACACTGCGATTCATTTACTCACATCTTCAGTCAAATGTGACCTGTGTCTTTTATACTGTTGGCGGGGAGCTCCTAGCATTTAACCTCCACAGATGATTTGCATCCTGAGAGTTGTGATAGTCAGTATTGAAATCATTCCAATTGAAGATTTCGGATCAACTGTTACCATGGGATACGATCTAATACACTCTGGTGTTTAATTTGTCCACGCTTTCGTAAAACAGGAAGTTGTTGGATTTGAATCCACTTTTGTTGTTTTGGGATTTGTCCTTGTAATAAGTGCTCTTCAAAGTCGACACTTTGGTTTATCCCGGTTTCATTCATTTTTTCGTTGACTTGTTTGAATCGGTGGTTATTTCTCCGACTGTCTAGGCGTCCAAAAATCTTCTTCAGTTCTTTAAGAATTGAAAACAAACTTTCTGCGGTGGTCGAGTTCAGCTTGAAAGCTAATATTTGTGTGAGAAACATACATCCCCACACAGCCATGGGCCTGTTTATTTTGATTGAGGTGTTTATATGAAGCAGTTTTATTCTGTTTGTGATTTAAACTGATTATAATCAGAATATTAAGCTTCATGTAAACATATATAATGATTCACTAAAAAGATGTGTGAACCACTGTGAAGTTTCTGGGCTAAATACAGTATATGAAGAGAGCTCTTTGGACCAAAACACAAACCATCCACCCATCCAAATGAATATTTATCCTACAGTCAGTTATTGTATTGACTTCCTCTTTATTTGCTCCACAGCTCATTTGACTTCGCCTTTGATTTGGCTCGACTTTCCTGCAAGGAAAAGATTCCTGAGATCCACTTCAAACATGCCATGTACCTGGAGGATGAGGTAAATCTGTTACAGTCCTGCTGCACACAGTTACCAGTAATCTGCTGTTCATACCGCTACATAATATGCATCAATAAAACCACAGTGGTTGTTTTATTTGACCTCTATAAAGTCATCACAAGAAACCTATGAATACCTCAATACCAATCATTTAACTTCAGTCTCCTTTACATATTAAACTGTTTAATATGTAAATGAATCTAAACCGTAGTCTCAAAGGCACACACAATCTTGGTCTTATCTTCATACTTCTCTCCATTATTCCTAACAGCTATGAATGGTCATAACCTTTAGCTTGTTAAGCCTGTAAAAATATGAATTTTCCTTAAGTCAGCTTACATTCTTATATGTGACTCGTATCTGAATGTAATGAAATTTAACATTTTCATCAGATTTTACAAAAGTCCAACTCAGTCCTGTAAATATATAATATAGATAGGTTGCCAATAATTACATTTCTGCTATATTCCTTGTACCTGACAATGTCTACTACTACATTTCTAGTACAGTAACTTGTGGTAATTGTGATGTTGTCACTGTTTCATCTTCAGGGCAAGTTTCCTGAGGCTGAGGTTGAGTTCATCAAAGCAGGAAAACCCAAAGAAGCCGTGTTCATGTGAGTCCTGGAGCTCACACATGTAGCTCACTGTTACTGTCATTAAGGGTAGATTTATATCAAAATACAGATCAGATGTGTACTGTAACTAAGTACATTTACTTAAGTACTGTACTTAAATACAGATTTGGGGGAATTGTGTTTGACATGTGTTTTTCCTTTTTCTGTTACTCTATGTTAACATCTTAGAGAGAAAAATCCACTTTGTGTTCAAATATCTGATGGATTTAGTTACTAGTTACTTCAGATTTTACATAGAAAGCATACTAGCAGCCTTTGAAATATGTAGCTTTGTTAAAAATTAAACAACTATTACACAATTAGAGCTAAAACCGTTAGTTGAATGATTGACAGGAAATCAGTTCATTATCATTTTGACCAGTCCATTCAACCAGCCCAACAGTAAAATCCTGCTTTTACATAAATACATGAGTAATAATGATACATAATAGTGTAACAGTCACAGGGGAAAACTCAGCAAGAAGTACTTTTGATACTTTTCATTTACATTTTCCTGTTTTGTGTGTGTGTGTGTGTGTGTGTGTGCGTGCTCCAGGTACGTCCACAACAAGGACTGGGCCAGTGCGCAGCGGGTGGCTGAGGGCCACGATCCAGAGAGTGTGTCTGAGGTTCTGGTCGGCCAAGCCAAGTTCTGCTTTGAACAGAAAGATTTCCAGAAGGCTGAAGCCTTCCTGCTCCGAGCCCAGAGACCCGAACTTGCTGTTAAATATTACAAAGTAACTATAAGAGCCAAACTGGCTTCAGAAAAAAAACACAAGAAAATAGTTTCTAAATATCCCAAACAAAAATAATTTATTTATTTTACTGAAACTTTATAAATCACAGACTTTCACCATCCTTTATTCTGTATTTGTTTGTTTGTTTGTGTTTATCAGGATGCAGACATGTGGAGTGATGCGATGCGGATCTGTAAGGAGTATCTCCCCAACAAGCTCTCCATACTTCAAGAGGAGTACGAGAAAGAGACCTCCAAGAAGGGAGTCCGGTGAGATTAAGACCAAAAAAAAAAAAAAAGAAACTAGTGGACCACATTTCTTTTAATGCTCATTTACTTTATTGTAGTCCAGAGAGCCTTAAAATGCCGATTATACTGATCTTCCCTCACATTACACAGTAAAAACCAGGAAATCTGTGAAGCCTTCCTGCTTAAATAAAAACAAAAAACAGTCACTGAAGTTTTATCTTGTTATAGCTGCAACAGCAGATACCAAAAGCCTTGAGTCATAATTATAGATCGTGAAGAGAAGTTTGGTATTTATGTGACATTTTTTGTTTAGATTCTCTATTAGATTCTGTTGACCTGTTACGTTATTAAGAAACCTCTTAAAAGCCAGATGGAGACCACAGAAACCCACTATGAACATTTCACATGCTCTCCCCATTTACCCAGCAGTATAATCTATGCACAAAGAGTCAGTTTGATGCTTTATTAAAACACAGCTCGTATGTTATCCCAAATTGAAACTACCGGCGAGGAATAGCTCGTTAGTTAGCCAGCAGACCAGCAGCATGCAGCTCTTATCCTCCTCCCATCGCTTCTCCCTCTTTAATGACTCGTGGGAGAAAACATCAAAAGTTACCAATGGAAACGAACGAGGAAGACGGTTAAAGTGAGAAAACACTGAATTATTGCTGCAGAGTTTACAGCTCAGGCTCCAGATAAGTGCAGGGTTTCCCGTTTCTTACAGGCATCTGCACACCACGGTCAAATGCTAGTTTACTAAGAGGTGCACGTGACTTTAATCTTAATTAAAAAGAAGGTAATGAAGAAGACAGATCAAGAACAAGAAAGAGAAGGAGAAATTAATATCCTGATTAAAAAGGTTGAATTGTGGGGATGATTCCTGCAATGATTCATGTGCTATGATCATTTGTAATTGTTGATTTAGTGAAACAAATGAGCAGAAGAACTGAACAAACAACAGCAACAGTAACACAATACAGCTTAAAAGATACAGTAGTTAGCTTTGTGTTAGGTCCCAGGAATAAAGAGAGGAATACAAAGATAACAGCAACAGGACATCAAGTCACCTCCAGTCTATATCAGTCTCAGTCCAAAATACAAACGCAGCAGAGGCCCTTGAACAAATAAATCACAGAACATTAATTAGGAAAGAACTGTAAATGTGATAATACGAGTAGACCACATACATACAGTTAATATATATATATGCATATTCATATTTGATAGCCATTTGGACCAGTAATTCCAACTTTTAGCAATACAAAGAAGATAAATCACAGAAATAAACTATAAAATAATTATAATGTGTAATAATACGGGTCCCACAATAACAAGTACTTACCTTTCTTTCTATTTAATATCTATATTCATGTGATAACAATTTAGATCAATACTTAAAGTCTTCTTCTCCATATCACACATTTCTTATCTTCTCTCCTTTTGTTGGTGGTTCCTTGTCTACCCATTTCTTACTTATTGCTTTTTCACTGACTACAAATAATACTTTAAAGGACCAGTGTGTAAGGTTTAGTGCCATCTAGCGGTGAAGTTGTAGATTGCAACTAACTGAACACTGCTCGTGTCTGTATTTGGCGACCTGGGAATGATGATAAAATCGGCTACTGATCAGAATGATTTATGTCAGAGTAACGTTGATGGCTGTGTTTGTTTACAGTATAAACAACAGTGTTTTTATTTATTATATTATATTATATTATATTTTCTTTATTCTTCAGTTTTTCCTAATTTCTTCCAAGTTGCACTCTTCAATCTTTGAATGATAAGAAAATGTCTTGAAGTAAAATAACAGTAAAATTTAATTATTCTGATTGAAATTTTGCCCAGATATTGAGAGTCTATCATTCAGGGTTTCCAACTTGTTTAACAATGCTTTGTTTTATATTTGATGATGTGCTGAATTTATCCCTCAAAAGAAGTGAATTTGTGTCCTTAACTGACTCTGTGTGTTTGCTTCAGGGGCGTGGAGGGCCTGCTGGAACAGGCCAGGGAGTGGGAGCAGTCAGGTGAATACCCCCGGGCTGTGGAGTGTTACCTGAAGGTGAAGGATGACTCCAACACGGCCCTGATGGAGAAGTGCTGGATGAAGGTAAAAGACAGATTTACAATAGGTCCAATCAGCACTGATACAGTTCCCTTTATCGTAATACTGTATAGTGCTGAGAGTAAGACCGTGGGGGTCGGGGTAAATCTGAGGGGTTGTCAGATAATTCACAGGACAAACAAGCAAGATAATGATATTTTTTTTTCAGACAATCCTCAAATTTATGTTTATTTTTCTTCTGAATTACTGGATAATTTTCTCTCCTCAGGGCTTTTTTATCAAACACAATTACCAACATTCATCTTTTCCACTGTGATTATGTGCTGTTTTTTCTCTTTTAATTCATCGTGAACTCATTTCTGAGACAACAAATGTAATCTGAAATCAAATGTTATCTGAAATCGTGTATGGAGAATTGCGATGGGCGTTTTTTCACAGTTTTTTGACATTTTGTATTCTCAGTGATTAATTAATTGATCAAAAAAAAAAAGAAAATGAAAATAATTGTCATTTTTTAACACATTACTAGAATATAGTAGTTATTCTTTAATGTTTTAGCAAACAAATAACACAGCTTTTTGTTTCAATTCCACAAATTAAGATTTAACATAGAAAACATACGAAGGGTTTTTAAAATTTGATGCTTTGCTATAGATTAAACCTCCAAAAAATTGAACAAAATTCACAACAAAACAGGAAAAAATAGAAATGTAAAAAGAGGGCACTTCTCTTTCTTTATAACCTTTGTTCAGTTCTTGTCGGACCAGCTGAGAGCACTTCTCTTGTATGCGCTCCATTTTCCCTGGCGTTGTTAATGGATCCCTGCTTTAGTCCTCAGATAATAAGTCAGCTTTTCCCTGGAAGATATTACCTCAACAATATCCAGCCACTGTCCTGGACCAGCTCCTTGTAATGGCCTTTTTACATGCAAGAATCAGGATTTTAAAGCGATAGAAGTCCTTCTTTTGGATTATATCATCAGGTATTAATCCAAGGTACACAATCCAGGCGTCCCGGTGAATCTGTTCCATCCTTTTCAAGGGAATCCGACCAAATCCGACCCAGTTGCAAGCCTTAGGAATAACTATAAAGTCTCACTAATGGTCTTGTTGGTTTATGTAGGTCAAATAGAGGCATCAGTATTAAACTGAGACTGTTTCATAACCTCCTAAAAAATCCTAGAAGTAAATTTGAGTAATTTTTTATGTAAACTTGCTGTTTTTCTTAAATGTTTTAGGAAACAAGTGAAGCCCGGCCAGTGTGAGGAAGTTCCAAACTGCTGTGCTAAACTCTTTCTAATGCTTGCAGTCAACCACTATTGTATTACAGCATGGCTGTTAGTGCATCCGATATGAAGTGAATCCTGTATGGTTAGGTTTTTTTGTTGCCTCAAAAGCAAAACAGTAAACAAATAAATAAAAACGAGGCATGCTGGGCGCTAAAACAGAAACATAAGAGCATTTTATTTTCTCCAGTTAGCTGCTTTCCCATTCAGCGTCGTAGTGGATGATAGAATAGATATATAATGATAGCCACCGTTTTCGCTGATGGCGGAGGAGGGGGAAAGGTCACCGTGTCACTAACATGAATAGATCTCGTTCCGGGGGGTGTAGAGCAAATATTGTGTGTTATTGATTGAAGTGCGATAGAGATCAGATCATTTGGAATTTGAATGGTTGTTCGGACGGTGTCGCTAAAAAGAAAGGTCACAGGCTCTCAGGGATCAATAGGTGTTTTTCCTTCGTCGTGTTTGATTAACCAGCGCGAGGAGAAGAAAGACAGATGGTTTATTCTCATTTGAGAATTGAACGTTTGGTCTCCTGGTGGCGTTTCGAGGAAAGGTCACAGGGTCAGCGGGATCAATACGTGGCTTCCTCTAGAAAGCCTGAATATGCACATTAGGTTTTATTCCAATTACTTGTTTTCAAAGGAACAGTCCGTTGACGGGCGGAGATGATCACTTAACCTCTGATCCTCTCCAGAGTTACCAAAGCATCTGAAAACTACAGCAGCTCTGAATTAACTAATGCTAATTAAATCTACTGGTGAGTGGAGTAAAAAGGTAACACTGATGTTCACTTTGAGATGCATATTAGAGATTAGAGCTCAATTAAAGCTTCAATTAAATGATTTGTGATCAACAGAGAAATAATGAAACATTCGTTTTCAGATTTTTAAACGAAAACAAAAAAAAAAGACGTTCTCAAGTTCCAGCTTCTCAAATGTGTTTTCTCAGATTTTTAAAATTATTTTACATTTTAATTGTTTGAGTTATGGAGCATTAATCTGACAAAACAAAGGACATTTATGATGGGAACTTTTAATTAAGTCATTAAACATTAATGGAAATAATTGTTAGTTGCCACTCTCTTATAAATAATTGAATTAAAGGTCCAGTGTGTAACATTAAGGGGGGTCTGTTGGCAGAAAGGGAATATAATA